AAAGTAAGCTGCTGGGGCTTACAATAGATTTGCTTTTGATTGTTCAGGTTCACCATCAGCAATAGTTTTGGTTGTTTTGATTTAAACAATCAGCGTATATGGTAATGTTATGATATACTGGGTAAAATGTATAATGAGGAATGACTTTTGCGAGGCACACTGAATGGCCAAAGCTGGAGGAGAAAAGAAGCTCACTAAACACTTCCAAACAGTCAAAACAATTGGATTTTGAGATGAGGTGAAATCCAAAGTTGTGCTATATATTCATTGGCTATGTCATAGCTCTTTTGTAAATTATAAATATTACTAGCTCAAACACTTAATCTACAAAAATGACAAGTTAATTAGTGGGTAATGGTGATTTCAGAAACAAAGTGTGGGGGGGGGGGGGGGGGGGGGGGGGAACATAGGCTAAATTGCCCCCCCCCCAAATCTGACAGTGGGGTCGTAGATACCTAGTCTCCTTTATGGCTCAGATCAGGTGCCTACCGTAGTATACACTATAGACATACCTCATTTACACACACACACCATTTACACAGAAGTCAGCTCAGACTGTTCCAGATCAGAGGCCCAGCTCATGAGCTGCATCAACAGCAGATTTGAATTTTGATCATGAATCGTATCGCATCGATTCGTTCTCTAATCAAACCGAATTGTTTGAAACTAAAACGTAGCGTTTCTGTATCAGAGCCCATGTATCTAGATATGTATCGAATCTTCTTGAAAGGGAAAGATGCACATCCCCACGATATAGCCATTTTGACTTTGTGGCTGTGGTAACTAGTGACAACCCCCTAGCAGAGGGGGGTGAGTGAAGGGATCCACCAATGCCTTTTATTTAATTAGCCTATATTGCTGCGCCAGCCCTGCATACATCAGATTTAAGCTAATTTTTTGTTTGTTTAAAGTTATTTATCCTATTCCAAAACTGTGAAAAACAAACCGAAGGCCGCAATGCACGGGTTAAAAGGAACGCAGGTAAAGAGGTGGTTGCCAAGCTGGCTACACGGGGAGATCTCTCTGGGCATACGAGACAAATGTTTGTTGTTTCTGGTATTTCTTCAAACAACGTAGTGCAAATTCTTGAACATGACTACACACACCAAGTTACATCGCAAACCATACGAGGATTTGAGAAATATGACATAGATTTACCTTAATTCATCGATGAACGCGTTTTTCATATAACATCCCACCTCACAACCCTCTGTTCGCCATCTTGCCACTGCAGGCTATTTCGCTGGGAAGCCTACCCCCCTGGCCCAAATTTAAATAAAAGCCAACTGAAAGGGGGGAGAGGAGAAAAGCCTTGCCTCTGCCTCAGAAATGCCAGACCATCCGCTGATTAGCAGAAGTGCCCTGAACAATCAGGATACAACCCGGATCAATTGACCAGAATCCACAAAGATTACAAATGCCTCTGACACACTGTAGGTATGGGCACAATGCATTCTACAAACTCAAATATCCTTGAGACAGGTCCTTGAAACCGACTCTTTGATGAGAAAAACTCACTAGTGGTGATAAGAGGGTGTGGTGCAGGCTGATTATAGGTTGCATGTCTCTGTCAGAAAAAGGAGTAAATTCTTTCATGACTTACACCTTGCTGACATGAAGGCACAGCATTCTTTCACCATTGTCTCATTGATTGTATGGCAATAATGTGTTTTACATCTTATAGTGTGAGATGAAAATAACTGACCCAAATAGTTAGTAAACCTCTATCAAATATGAATCTCTCAAAAATAAATGATTTAAAGAAAACACAAGAAATACAAAAATTTTACAAGGTTAATAAACCAAAAGTTGTTGTTTGAAAAACCATTGGTAATTAAATAATAAATATATTCTGCTTTTGAGTTAAGCTGTCAGTGTGTATACATGTGACAAGGAGCAGTAAGAGAAATAGGTGAAACATATTAATTGTAACTAATTTCTTACTGCCTTAAGACAGTGTTATAAACACAGCAAATATGAGTGAAAATTCAATGGAAATTGATTGAAAATTGTAAAAGCAATTTATAGTAAACCACACAAATAGCGCTGTCCCTGTCCAATTACTGGGGAATGACAGACCACAACTAAAATCAACAACTGAAACATTTGGACTACTTAAGTGGAAATGATAATTGTATTATTTTGTTATCAGACAGACTCACCTGCTTCCCATGCAAGTCAGTCAGCAATCCAGGTATGGACTTAAAGAGGCAGGCTGATGATCTTGACTAGGGGTGCATCTCATTAGTCTAAGTACAGTAGCTTCCTCTGCTTGTATCCTCTCTCTCATGTTCTGATCTGTAAGACCTGGACGCCTCTCCAGCAGTGGAGGTTGCTGAGGGGAGGACGGCTCAAAATATTGGCTGGAATGGAGTAAATGGAATGATTTCATTCACTCCATTCCAGCCATTACACTCCATTCCAGCCATTTATTATGAGCCGTCCTCCCCTCAGCAGCCTCCACTGCTCTCCAGCTGTCCCTATGAACAGTGGTTCGTTGACGTCAACCACCTGTATTCAATGGAGAGACATGCTATGCTACTATCCTCATGTCGTTAATATGAATAGTCATCTCGAGACAACTCCGATATAAAGTGTTTTTCACAAAGTGGCCGGGATGTCACGTGTCCTACTTATATCAGTACCCTCATAACAACCTAAACATTACGAAACTTCTATTCGATTAAATAAACCTCACGTAGCAAATAAACCATTCCATTTTTTGTTGATCAAATTCGACACTCTTGACCTCCATACAAAAACTCCTCGCTTTGGTTAGCGAAAGAAACGAAACAACGCCACCTGCTGGAGAAGATAGATTTTTGGCCGAGTTGGGCTTCTCGCTTCGTCTCTTTCTCTCTAGTATCGTCCATGCAACTTTTTTGAAGTATGGCAGTTGTGTAAATTACTTAAGTAAAAAATACTTTTTTGGTATATCTATACTTTACTATTTATATTTTTGACAACTTTTACTTTTACTCCACTACATTCCTAAAGAACACATGTACTTCCTACTCCCATACATTTTATTTTACTTGAGTCATTTTCTGTTAAGGTATCTTTACAGATATCGCAAGTATGACAATTGAGTACTTTTTCCACCACTGAAGTATGGAACCTATGGTATAGCATATGTTCCATCATGGTAGTAGGCTGTTCCATAGCTTTTAAAGCAAAAGTTTGATTCAGTGAGGGATCAATTTTTTTTCACACCAAATGTTTATGTTTTATTTTATTTAACCTTTATTTAACCAGGTAAGCCAGTTGAGAACAAGTTCTCATTTACAACTGCAACCTGGCCAAGATAAAGCAAATACAAACATACACATACGAACAACAACTTACAGACCCCCATAAACAAGGACTACATCTCCTCTGCCCATGCGGGTCTGGGCAGAGGAGATGTAGTTGGTTTACACATTCTGATGACAAAAGGAGGGTTGTTTTCACACCTCATATTGTTCCTGGGGCGTAAAACCTTTTGGGAAAAATAAACTCCATCACACTGGCATTCTTGTAAGCTTCAGAATGTTTTATTGATTTGGAATATGAGCCATTCAGATTAGGCTCACCAGGGGGCATGGCACTATACAAACCATTGTTAAATATTTTGTACCATGATCTCAGTGCTGGAAAAAGTACCCAATTTTCATACTTGAGTAAAAGTAAAGTGAAAGCCACCTAGTAAAATATTACTTGAGTAAAAGTCTAAAAGTCTTTGGTTTTTAAATATACTTAAGTATCAAAAGTAAATGAAATTGCTCAAATATACTTCCTTATCAAAAGTAAAAGTAAAAGTATAAATAATTTCACATTCCTTATATTAATCAAGCCAGAAGGCCTGATTTTCTTGTTTTTATTAATTTACAGATAGCCAGGGGCACATTCCAACACTCAGACATAATTTACAAATGAAGCATTTGTGTTTAGTGAGTCCACCAGATCAGAGGCAGTAGGGATGACCAGGGATGCTCTCTTGATAAGTGTGTGAATTGGACCATTTTCCTCTCCTGTTAAGCCTTCAAAATGTAAAGAGTAGACCTACTTTTGGGTGTCAGGGAAAATGTATGGAGTAAAAACTACATTATTTTCACAAGGAATGTAGTGGAGTAAAAGTAAAAGTTGTCAAAAATGTAAAGCGTAAAGTAAAGTACAGATACACCCCAAAAACGACTTAAGTAGTACTTTAAACTATTTTTACTTAAGTACTTTACACCACTGCATGATCTTATTATTTCAACATCAACCTGTTATATGTATGTTTTCAGATGTGATTGCCTCAGCTCAGATGTGATTACACTTTTACTACTTTGTCATTCTGGTCTGGTTCACAGTGGGTCGGCAGGTAGCTTAGTGGGTAAGAGCGTTGTGCCAGTAACCGAAAGGTCGCTGGTTCTAATCCCTGAGCCGACTAGGTGAAAAATCTGTCGATGTGCCCTTAAGCAAGGCACTTAACCCTAATTGCTCCTGTAAGTCGCTCTGGATAAGAGCGTCTGCTAAATGACTAAAATGTAAAATGTATGTACTATTTCAATCAAGTGACAAATAGTGGCCCATAATGTGTAGGCTTCGCCCAAAATAGGCTAAATAAATGGACGAATACTCTCATTTGACAAAATAACTTCAGGATAATAACTCAAATCAAAGTATACTCAAAGTACAGTGCGTACACATTACAGACACTGTACCGAGGTGAGAGTGGGTGAGTGGACTGTACAGACACTGTACCGAGGTGAGAGTGGGTGAGTGGACTGTACAGACACTGTACGGAGGTGAGAGTGGGTGAGTGGACTGTACAGACACTGTACGGAGGTGAGAGTGGGTGAGTGGACTGTACAGACACTGTACCGAGGTGAGAGTGGGTGAGTGGACTGTACAGACACTGTACGGAGGTGAGAGTGGGTGAGTGGACTGTACAGACACTGTACCGAGGTGAGAGTGGGTGAGTGGACTGTACAGACACTGTACCGAGGTGAGAGTGGGTGAGTGGACTGTACAGACACTGTACGGAGGTGAGAGTGAGTGAGTGGACTATTTGGATATCGCTGGGTATTCTGGGTACAGACAGTAATTCCACGATGGCGGCGAGCAGGAGGCTGCACAAGGTAAATTTCCTGATCAATCAAATTAGGATTTTATCTTGTTAGATTAAAGAGAATAAAACATTCGGATTGCTAAATCTCCGATAAAATGAAAAGTGTCGTTAAATTGGTTTAATTTAGCCCCACACTGTCAGAAACCTCATGAAACTCGGTAAGCGGAAAATGAAGCTAGCTAGCTAGACGTTAGCGTGCTAAGCTAACCCGCTAGCAGTTGTTTTTTGGTGATGTTTTGATGTTAGCACCGGTATGTTAATAGGCAAGGTCCGTGTTTTATTCATCTAAATTAATTAACAATGTGTCATCAAATTTATTTAGTTTAAATTAATTATTGTGTCATAAATTGGGTGATAGTCGCAGTTAAACATGATTGAACATTGGCTCAGAAAAACTTGGCTGGCTAGCTAACGTTAGCTAGCTTGCGAACCGTAGCATGGGAGTTAATTGTGCAATGCACAGCAGGTACCTAGTTAGCTAACGGTGTGGTTCTATGAGCAAACCAGCTAGTTAGCAACTCACGTTAATTCAACTTATTTTCTCAATGTGTAACCGAGGAATCTGAGCAGCTAGCCAACCAAATGCATTTCCTCTGATTTGGTTTCTTAGTTGAATTGTTTTGAATAGTCATCGAGTGAATCGAAAGCGAAATTGTAGAAATTGATTATCTGCTAAATACGTTACGTTAGCTAAGCTAGTTGAATTTCATTCATTCGACCTCAGTAAACGAGCTAGCTAGCTTAATAGCTAACAATGATTAACGTTAGCTTACCAACACTGGGTGTAAACAATCCTCATCATGTTCTCAACACTGGGTGTTAACAACCCTTATCATAATTGGCAGCTGGGTTTAATTTGTGTGAAAATAACGTTAGCTAGATATCTAGCCAAAAATATCTAGCTAGTTGGTTAGTCAGCAGTATCGATTAACCTAACTTCTTAGAACGTTTTTACATAGACTTTTAAACCCTTTATTTTCTCAAAACAACCGTAGGACATAGAATAAGGCTACATTCAAGATCAGATTAATATGGAAAGAAATGAAACCAGGAAGCTGTGTGCCCATGTTTTATTGTTATGGGTGTGTTAACTGTAATGTCCTTGTCACTATAACACACTGTAACACTACCCCCAATCTCATGATTTGTAGTGAACGATTACCAGCCCTGGGATTTATGAGTCATTCCTCTGGTTTGGCAGAGATCAGTGTTCTGTAGTGAGATCAGTGTGAGACTTCCTGGTTGGGTGAATGAGACACAGACAGATATAGGCTAATCCCTAGTATTCGTTCAGTCTGTGTTTACGTGTGTCTGTAGTCATTGGGCTGTTTTGGCCTATTGGACACAGCTTGTTTAGTGGTTACTAAGACTCAGCCAACACAGACATGTTTTATCAGTCCTTTATCTCTAGTTTGATATACACCTCTCTGCTTCCCGTAATGGTGATGTTTATGGTTTATGATTAACTAACATTAATTAGCTGTACAGGAGAACTTGTTCATTATGTTTTTCTCTCTCTTTCAGGAACTTGATGAAATCCGCAAGTCTGGAATGAAAAATTTCCGTAACATTCAAGTGGATGAAACAAATATTTTGACTTGGCAAGGCCTCATTGTTCCAGTAAGTAGCCTAGCGGCATTACATACTACTTTCTCCAGACATAATAACAAGGAGGACCAAGGCACTCACAGCGATGTTACAACTCATTTGTTGCTGTGCCATTTTCAGTAGGACATCAGCTCACCTTTTAACCAAATGTCATTGTCTCTCTCCCCTCTAAAAGGACAACCCTCCATACGATAAAGGTGCGTTCAGGATCGAGATAATCTTCCCAGCGGAGTACCCCTTCAAGCCCCCCAAGATCACGTTCAAGACGAAGATCTACCACCCCAACATCGACGAGAAGGGACAGGTGTGTCTGCCTGTGATCAGCGCAGAGAACTGGAAACCAGCCACTAAAACTGACCAAGGTACGGCGGAAAGTTCTTCTGACTTAACTTTTTAAATAGTAGTTATTTGCAGTTTTTCATAATTTGTAATTGAAAGTCTGAACCCTAACCCTCCAGTCTCCTCTCCCTCGGAGTCTCCTATCTATTTGGCTGGAGAGGATTCCATCCTGTATCCTCTGCCTGGTTATGGATTTCAATGTGTCTTTCTGACCTGGTTCATCTGGACTTCCTCGTGTCATCATCCATTTTTACAGTCTCTTTTATCCTGCTTGTCTCTCTGCAGTGATCCAGTCCCTGATCGCGCTGGTCAACGACCCCCAGCCAGAGCATCCTCTCAGGGCAGACCTAGCAGAGGAATACTCTAAGGACCGTAAAAAATTCTTTAAGAACGCAGAAGAGTTTACAAAGAAACATGCCGAAAAACGACCTATGGACTGAGAACGCAAACGTGTGACTTCCTTTTCCTCCCTCCCCCCGGGATCCTCTCTCAACTCCTCCCTCTCTCCCCCCCTCCAAGACCACCTATACCCCCTCTGTTCTTACCCCGTCCCCTGAAAATGCCCCCCACACACGTACACACATCCTTCTAGCCCCCCTCCTCCTCCTGGGGCGGTATATCTCGGCTCCACTTCGCCCTGGCAACAGGACTTTTTCGTGAATCAGGCAGGTCGTTCAGCTCTGGGTGTTAGCTTGTTGCTGTTAATAACTTTCTACTGATTTCTTAAATTAAATTATAAAAATGTTGAATTTGGGCCAGAGAGAGCAACCTGTAAAAGAGGGAGAGGAAAAAAATACAACGGAAAGAAAGATGTGGATAAAAATGTTGTTCTGCTCAATTTGCTCATGATTTGTTCACAGAAGTGTATTGATTGCTGGTGCAGACCTGTATAAAGATTGTTGACTGTTTTGAAAGCTATTTGCTAAATGCTGAACTTGTGGTCTGATTGCTAACCCTTTTCCGCTCACTCCTTCCCCTCACTAAAATATGTAACAGAAAAAAAACAACCTCAAAGCAACTAAATGATAGAAAACATTTAAAGCATCCAGGTTGAGGAGGTGTGGCAAAAATGTTTATTTTATATTTCTTTTTATTGTTTTGCTTAAGTTGCACTTTGCTCTGTGGAACTAGCTTTTAAGTTCACCATAAAACTTCAGTTTGTCACCAATACAATGTTCCAGATGTTATAAAAAGGAGAAGAAAAAAAATTGTGTGCACCTTAATTGAGAGATTATCATGAAATGTTTTGTTCAGCGGATATATGGCACTTCCTGTAAAGGTCTGACCATGTGACAGGAAGTACCTCTCTATGCCTTTGCCCACTTGCCTCTTACAAGAAGGCAATTAGACTGTCACATCTTGTTCCCATTTAAACTACTCATCAGTCTTCCTCTGTGACTGGGAGGATGGAACAATTTTTTGGGGTGTTGAGGTGATCAGCCCTAGAAAGGCACTGCACAAATTCACTAATCTTGTTCACATATTTGGCATACAAAGTGATTTGTGAATCAGATTGCAAAAGTTTAGTCATTTAGAAATGCATTTAGTCATTCAGCAACAACCACCTGACCAGTACTGCCATTGGGGAATAATAATGACATTGGACCAAAACATTTGATTACTTTATTCATCAGTTTATGTAATTGTAAATGAAAGTTAACCAGTAACCACTTAGAGGCAGGAGGCAGTTACCCATCCAATCCATTGGGATCTGTAAACACTGAAGGGTTAGGACCAATGATGTGATGTATTGGTTAAGACTGCCAATGAGATGCATGCACGATACTTTGGAGACCTGTAAATGTCAGTCACTTTTTCAACACTAGAGGGTGATACTTCTCTACAAGGGAAATTGAACTCCTTATCCAAAGGGCTTTGTGGGTCTATCTATGGCAGGGTTCCCCAACTGGCGGCCCAGGGGCCAGGTTGTTTTATTTGGCCCCCCAGTTTTCTGAGCAAGAAAAAAATTAATTGTTTATTTAAATGTTTTATTGGTGGGCATAAGACTGTAAAAACACCAGGAGATCAGCTCCAATTGATTTTAATTTGAGAAATATATTCCCAAGTATTCCTGTGCATAACAGAGAGATGTGATCGTATGCAAATGTAAGCAAGGTTTGAAATGGTTGTTTTAGTCAAATATATCTATTTGGGATTCTTGCGGTCAATTTGCAGTCAAATGGTTTGTAATTATGTTCTGAACCCCAGACCATCCGCTCAAGAAAAAATTGGCGTGATTTGCAGATCAGTGATTCTGCACAGGGCTTTGTTCAGACCGATCCCCTCATGTACAGTAAACTAGTGTTGGATTTGTCTTTGGAGTGAATGTGGACTCCGTTTCCCATGGTCCTCTAGTCTACACCTCCATTGGCACATTTCCATTGAGGATTTACCCCAGTGTTTTACCCAAAGAGCTCAGACTTTTATGTTTCCATCTTCAGGGGCCGGCACCCGTGTCACACTGGGCCATCGCTCCGGGGGACCTGCTCTAATTTGGAGACAAGGCAAGGCCCTGGGTACTTTTCAGCTGGCATGTATAATAATGGCTATAACCGTGAACTTTAACACATTCTCACAAATCAACAGACTTGAATGATGTGGAGGTTGTTGATTCTGCTTGCCACAAATCTTTAGTGTCATTCCTGATGGAAACTCAACACTACAGCTTATATTAACATAAAACACTGGTGAACCACTAGTGTGGGGGTAAGTCTCATTGGAAAAGCACCGAAGTTAACAGGCCCGTAGGAGTTGGAGCAGCGAGGTCAGTGAGTTAGAGGGTTGTCAGTGAGGTAACTCCTGCTGCTGACAATGACGATCGACCGAGGACCATAGTTATGGAAAAATACATTTATTACAGACAGCACCACACTGTTATACTGATTTAATATTACATAGCTTGACCATTCAGTGTATTGTCCAAAGCGAAATTAACATTTTAGTAGAGCTTAATGGCAGTTCTGATATTATTAAATGGGATTTATTTTTGCCTTTATTTCAGTGGGTAGTCTAGATTCTACTATACGACATTTTACTTACTGTGCATGAACAGATCATTGTGGGATACGGATGAAGATGCGTGTACGGAAACTTTCAGTAAACTACAAAAAGCTATATTCTGGTTGCTCGTCTGCATTATACCAACCCCCACTACAACCCTCCTCTCTCACATTTCTAATGTCTCCTCCTTGGCATTAGACTAGTGGTCAGCACGTAGACCACCGCTAAAAATACACTGACCAGATTCAGTTTCCTCTCTGGCCATCTTAGTGGTCACAGACCCTCTCACACCTACACACACAAACCCACTGGCACTTGCCCGCTCAGTCACGCTATGTCCAAAGCATAGAAACAGGACATCTAGAGCAGATTTGCCATCTGGTCTTTCCCACTTGCAAGAAATATGTCCTCTCTATGCCCTCTGTTTCTGTGGTCCCCTGACCCTCTCAGTTATGTAAGTATAGCAGGCAGCGATTAGCTGATTAGCTCCACGTCACTAAGCTGCTCCAAGTAGCCCAATTACCTTCCCAGAGACCAGACAGACAGATGGACAGAATCTACCCTTTAAGACAGACAGACGTTTTGGCACTGAGGCTGCTCCCATTCTAGTCTGGAGCCCTCAACTGGGATTTGTATTTTATCTAATTGAGACTAACCTGGATGAATAAAGGTTAGATAAGAGGCATCTGTGTGAATTCTACTGGTACTTTTCCATTGGTGGAATTGGGCTGCTGCCATGCTTCTCTCTGTTCCTCTCTCTGACCTCTAAATGTGCTTAACTCAGGGTTAAACTCTGTTACTGCAGTAAACCCATTATGGCAGATCAGCTGGTGGGAGACAGAGGCCTGCTGAGAGAAGAGACTCACTGGAGCGATTGGAACTGTACACAGACTACATCACAGCTATATACAGTGCCCTCCACTATTATTGGCACCCCTGTTTAAGATGTGGTCGAGGACTTCCAAAAATTCTCCTTTTTTTTTTAAACAACATAGAACCCAAATGCAAAAAAAGAGAAAAATCCAACCTTTTATTTAAGTACATTACTTTGGTGGTAAAAAAAAAAATCACACATTTAGAAAAAAAAATACTTGAAATCATGTGTCCCACAATTATTGGCACCCCTAACAATTCCGCTGAAAATTTTAATTGATTTTTTAAAAAATATATTTTTCTGTAGTTGCTAAAGTTGGTCAGGGTATCTAGGAACTTTTCATTAGTAATTCATGACTTCCTGTTTCCCTGGGGTATAAATATGACGTGACACAGAGACCTAATTCTCTTACCCATTTGTCAACATGGCAAAGACAAGAGAACACACCATTCAAGTAAGGCAGATTTGTGTCGACCTTCATAAGTCAGGCAATGGCTACAAGAAAATAGCCACTCGCCTTAACTTGCCCGTATCTACAATCAGAGGAATCATTAAGAAGTTTAAAACAACTGGAACAGTGACAAACAAGGCTGGAAGAGGTCCCAAGTTTATCTTGCCACAACGCACAATGAGGAGGATGGTAAGAGAAGTAAAAAAAAAGTCCTAAGCTCACTGTCACAGAATTGCATCAAAGAGTGGCATCTTGGGGTCACAAAGTCTCCAAAACAACCATCAGACGCTCTCTACATGCCAACAAGCTGTTTGGGAGGCATGCAAGGAAAAAGCCTTTTCTCACTAACACTCACAAACGTAAACGTCTGGAGTTTGCTAAGCGGCACTGGGACTTCAACTGGGATCGTGTGCTTTGGTCAGATGAGACTAAGATTGAGCTTTTTGGCAACAAACACTCTAAGTGGGTCTGGCGTAAAACAAAAGATGAGTATGCCGAAAAGCACCTCATGCCCACCGTGAAGTATGGTGGAGGATCTGTGATGCTGTGGGCCTGTTTCTCGTCCAAAGGCCCTGGGAACCTTGTTAGGGTGCATGGCATTATTAACGCTTTGAACTACCAGGACATTTTAAATAAAAACCTGATGGCCTCTGCCAGAAAGCTGAAGATGGGTCGTCATTGGGTCTTTCAGCAGGATAATGATCCAAAACATGTGGCAAAATCTACACAAAAATGGTTCAGCAGTCACAAACTCAAGGTCCTCCCATGGCCATCTCAGTCCCCAGACCTCAACCCAATCGAAAACCTGTGGGGCGAGCTAGAGGAGAGTGCATAAGAGAGGACCCAGGACACTGGATGATCTAGAAAGATTGTGCAAAGAATGGTCAAAGATCCCTCTCTCTGTGTTCTCCAATCTTGTGAAATGTTATAGGAGGAGATTAAGTGCTGTCTTGTTGGCAAAAGGGGGTTGTACACGTTTATTTTTTTCTAAATGTGTGATTTTTTTTTTTACACCAAAGTAATGTACTTAAATAAAAGGTTGGATTTTTCTCTTTTTTTTGCATTTGGGTTCTATGTTGTTTAAAAAAAAAAGAGAATTTTTGGAAGTCCTCGACCACATCTTAAACAGGGGTGCCAATAATTGTGGAGGGCACTGTATAGTCAACTTCATAGTTAGTGATGCATCTATTACATAGTCATTACACATGAAAAGTCCAATGACATTTATGGGGAATGGAAACTTACTACAGTTATGGAAAGTCCCAGTCAGTTGTTAATTGTAATGGTGTTTAAGCTTTTAGTTAGGTAGGAATATTAGTAGAAGGAGAAAGACAAGCTGTAATATCTCTTTGGAGTCAGGGAATGAGTCATTTTATTGATCAGAGATCAGTGGTTTTATTAGGGTTGATTTTTATTGAGGTTAGTGTTACAGGTAAGACTGTCGCTCCTGGTAGAAGCTGTCCCTAACCACAGATCTAGGATCAGATTACAATACCCCCAGCCTTAACCATCAAGGGGATACACCAACACTTGTCCCTGGACCAGTGGAAAGACATTCTACTTCTACTTTACTCCAAATTGCTCCGTTTGGGGATGAGGAGGGATCAGGCCTAGCTCCTCTCCCTTGGCCCTCTCTAACTGCAGAGCGGGTCATTTCCTCTCAGACGTGGGGCTCAGATGTTTCACTTCCTGAACTGGGTGATGGGGGAGGGGACTTTGATGTCCTGGCCCCTTTCCAGCTTCTTCTCACAGTCAATCAGATAGTTGACTCCATCAACCAATAACTGGACCAGCTCCACCTATACACACGCACCGATACACACAGTTATCAGCGGTCAAGGTGAGTTTAATCTTTGGTCCAGATAGAGTTAATTTGAGATGGTTTACAGTTTCATTCATTCATTCATTCATTCATAGAATATGGTTGTAGTTTTACCTCAGATTTTCCCAGACGGTCGTTGTTGGAGATATCGAAGGTGTCTCCAGTTGTGGCCGAGTCAACTCCGCCTGTCCCTCTCTTCTGCAGACGCATGTTGTCCAGGATCTTACCAAAGCGAGGGTCCTGCAGGGTAAGTACAGAACTTTTATAAATGCTTTGTCTAGGGAAAGAGGGGTCAATGCACAGGGACAATCCAAGCAAAAACGTTGGGGAAGAGAAGAAAAGAGAAAGAGAGAGAGAGAGAGAGAGAGAGAGAGAGAGAGAGAGAGAGAGAGAGAGAGAGAGTGTGTGTTACCTTGCTGAGGTTGGGCAGTCTGACATGCACTCCAGCCCTGAGTCCAGTACCCAGGTTAGAGGGGCAGGTCAGGATGTAACCCAGGTGCTCGTTCCACATGAACTCCCAGCCTCTCTCCTGGATCAGCTTCTCCACCTAGAGGATGGAAGGACACATTAATAATCTACTGTATATGTCCATGTATATTATAGAAAAAAGGGTGCTATCTACATCATAAAATGGTTCTTCAGCTATCACCATAGGAGAACCCTTTGAAGAAACATTTTTGGTTCCAGGTAGAACCCTTTTGGGTTCCATGTAGAACCATTTTTACCCTTTCCCGTTCTACCTGGAAACAAAAATGGTTCTCCTATGGGGACAGCCGAAGAGCACTTTTGGAATCCTTTTTTTAAGAGTGTAGAGACGAGCATCATTAAATCACTAAGATGTGACATGTAAAGTACCTGTTGGAGTCCTCTGCAGAACCTCTCAAACACTCTCTTCATGTTTCCTCCCTTCTCCATGGAGATGACCCTGGTGTGGTCCTCCTCATTGACCCAGATCAAGAAGGTCTTCTCATTGTTGTGCCTGGAGAGAAAGAACACATTCCTAAGAATCTATAAACATTTGTTGGTTGCACTGATTGTCAACTTCTGCGATCACAGCACACACATGCTGGTTAGAGGAATCTGCTGATGAGAGCCTTGTAGACCCTACCAGAGGCCCCTGCCGTCGGGCCAATCACGGGCCATGAAGGCACACGTCAACAAGGGGGAGACAGGCTTGTCAAACAGGAAGTGGTCCTACAGGGGAGAGGAGGGAGAGGAGGAGGAGAGGGAGGGGAAGAGGGAGAGGTGGAAGATGAGGAGATGGTCACGGAAATGGGAATTCAGGGTTAGAAGGACATTGATGTAATGATACTTTGGGGAGAAGAGGACGAGAGGAGGAAGAGTAGTCAGAGGAAGAGACCTTTCCCAAAGGCCTCTAATGCTATGGGAACATGGTTCTGCTCTCTACTCCTCTGATCTTACCAGATGCCCCTACTCACAGATAGTACTATTTCTACAGCTATTATGATACAAGACAGTGCTACAGGCTTTTAAAGCTACAAGGACAGGTTTGGGCTCTCTACTGCTCTGGCCTTACCAGATTCTTAGTACTAGGTCTCTCTACAGGTAGTGTAGTTTTGGGGACATGGTTTGGCTCTCTACTACTCTGGTCTTACCAGATGCCCCTGGCATCAGGCCAGTCACGGGCCATGAAGGCAGAGGTCAGCAGAGGAGAGACGGGCTTGTCGAACAGGAAATGCTCCTGCGGCAGCGTGAGGTTCAGAGGACAAAGGTTAATGAGACAAAGGTCAAGACTAGTCTAATCTCTCCCAAAGATTACCTCTATTTCCAATCTTAATCGTAGCCGTTAGGATGAAACGCAAAGTCATCCCAGTCTGTCTAGACTGAGTGGATTAACTTGGTAACTAAGCCCCTTTTTGTCCATTGTGCTAAACTTTCCTGAAATAATTGGTAGGCCTACCACTGGGGAATGAAGACAAATTAGTGCAATCAAGAACCATGTCCTCAGATGAGTCACTACAGTTCAGGTTACAGTTGCACTATTTCCGCATAATCTTTACAACAATCCCTGCTATTAGTATGGCAATATAAGTAGATATTATCATGGATATGAGGAATCCCGCATGCAGTCAGATTATGATAATACATGTAGTTATGTACATTTTTGGATAAAAGGAGAAGAGAGACAGACAAAGAGGAAGAGAGATTGGGATGCAGACGGACGGACAGACAGACCCACAGACAGAAAGATAGATAGGTACATTAGATAGATAGATAGATAGATAGATAGATAGATAGATAGATAGATAGATAGATAGATAGATAGATAGATAGATAGATAGATAGATAGATAGATAGATAGATAGATCCTCTGTGAGTGTCGCACATCAATAAGCTGCTGCTGCTCCTTCTCGGTCATGTCTCCCAGGCTGTAGTAGCGTCCAGCCAGGTCACCCTTCAGGCCGGCCAGGGCCTGCACGGTCACACGCTCCACCTCACGGCGCTCCGAGCGGGAGCAGCACGGGGGCAGGCTCAGACCGCGGATACTACGGCCTGTACGCACGCGAGACGACAGAACGTATTTCTCATCAAACATACCGTTGGTGATCTGAGGAGAGAGAGTTATCATTAAATCTGAGAATAATGGACTATTTAATGTAGTGTGTAGAGGTTCATGGAGGTGTGTGTGTGTGCTACCTTGGATGCGTCCAGATCAGTGGGGTGTTTCATTGTTTTGGGGTCGTAGCCGTTGTGTCGGTCTTTGATGACGGGGTCAAAGATATCAGCAAACACCTGGAGAGGACAGGATGGACAGTTAACTGCTAACCAAAAGGAGATACCTCCTTCAAAATATAAAAAAATGCACACACACACAAACAAACACACACACGCACACATACAGTACCTCGTAGCTCTCCTCGTCCCCAGCCACCATGCCGACAGTCTTGATGAAGGGGTGGCCTGGGTTGTCCACTCCGGTCTGGATGCACTGGTCCAGGGTCCAGTTGTTAGGGGTCACTTTGTCTCTCAGCTTGCCGTAGATAGCAGGGGTCAGGGAGTGCGCCATGCAGTTGTTGTGCCTCCTCAGGTCAGGATAGTCAGCGCTGGGGATGATGGGAAAAGTCGTTTTCATTCAAAAGCTGTGCACTATGAAGAACCTTTCAAATAGGGTGTGATTATGGACACACCCCTTGCCAAGAGGGCTGCGGTTTTAGATGTAATGTGGATGTAGTTTTTTTGGACAGGTACATATTGATTGGTTGATTGGTCGCTTGATTGATTGAGATAAGTAGAGGAAGTTATTTTAGAGTGTTGGTGATCTGTCTAATCTGTGGCTCAAGCCTTAGTTCCTGATCTGATCTACTCTTGGCTCATGTCCCTGTGTGTGTGTGTGTGTTTACTATATGCGAATGAAGGAAAGGGCAAAGGAGGTGACTGGCAAGACTTGTATCTACTCAACCTCTAAGGTTTCATTCCCTGCCCCGCCCCTCTACCTTTGACTTACATTAGGACTGACTGCACACTGTGTGTCAGATTCTGGTTGTTCCTATTCAACAGGTGCAGCTATCCCAGGCCCAACACCTGTATTCCAAATTATTTATCCAACCTTTGTAGGTCGTCTGTATAAAGCCATCCTATGTGTAGTCCACAGTCCATTAGAGGCCATGTTGTTTGTAGTCCTACCTGGGTGGATAGAGCTTCCTCCTCTCCTCAGCAGACAGGATGTTGCTGTCGGTAATCAGGTAGCCGGTTGCCATGGTGCCTGCTCCCAGGCTGGCCAACAGCACGGCCGTATTACGGCCGGACATCATTCTTGTGAAGGAGGTCGCCATCTTGGACAGTTCAGAGGTCAGAATCAGGTCAACTGGGGGAGAGAGAGCGAGATAGAGCGAGAGGAATTAGGGAAGAAGAGACAAGATAAAAGTTACACATTTCAAAGGCTGTACTTCTTAAAAATTCTTAAATATGCATTTATCTATGCATTAGTTTCTTGCTGTGTATGTCCTTCACATCAGGTGAGCTGTGGGAAGAACCTCCTCCTAAACAATACACTTCCTTCCTTTAACCCTTTGGCCACTACCTTTTGCCAATCACATACAGACTGCGGATGCTGCAGCTCAAACTTACTCCATGTCCTCAGTTGAGTTACAATGTGCTTCCAGTTGGTTGATTGTACTGTATTCAATTGTATCGTAACAAGTCAACAAAAAAATATGTTTCTATATCTTATAGAGTAGATGTAGGTCGTTGATAACGAGCTTACAGTATAAGACGGGAGTATCAGCAGATGGCTGATTAAGCTCAGTCTCCTAAACTGGTCTCACAGGATGGCCTCTTAGCAAGCATAATATGGCCGCCACCATCAAGGAGGAGTAGGTAGGATGAAGTTGCCCCTATACACCGATCTTAGGTCACCAAGATAAAACAAACTCTGGTTTAGGTCCTGCCCGAGCAAGGTATTACTCTCAGTATATTCTGTGACTAAAATCTAAAGGTGAAAGCTTGTTCTCACTGACTTGTCCTTCGCTGCAGCACAGAGGACAGAGAGAGAGGGAAAGCTGACTTAAAATAGAGAGGTCTACTGTATATAGGTCTATAGAGGTCTGGTAGAGGTCTAGTCACTAATCCCTGTCAGAGATGAAACAAAAGCTGGGATTGACTTCCTGTCTTAATAATCATTCTACACATCTATTACATCATGATCTGCAGTCGTCAGTTGACTTAGTTCCATGTGATTGTTCATCATTAAGAATACGGGAAGATTACTATTCCGTTTGATCGTCAGATCGTCAGTTGGCTGCAAAGCTAACGATCCACCCTCTCTGCTCTATGATCAATATCAAGGAAACCTACATGCATATCAGCGTCTGAACACAGGATAACATTTCTGGGTCATTTCAACTCTATTGACCTCGAAGTTGTGGCCGTGTTTTCCCCTGAGTGAAGTAAAGTAGACTAGAACACACTAGGTGGCTGAGGAGTCAGAGAGGAGGAGGCTGTCAGCACTGAAAATACATTATTATTTATAGAAATCTGGAGGAGAGAAACAGTGCCAGATGGGTCTAATGCCAAGACCGCTCTTTCTGGAATCAAAGCACCACAGGCCTCGTGTTCTGTTCTGCTCTGACATTCTGAACTGGTCACAGTCTCTCAAGACAGGACACAGCCAAGACAAAGACAGGGGGAGGGGAGAGGAGGGAAGAGACACACACACACAACGAGAAAGAGAGACAGAAAGAGATTGAGAGATAAGTGAGAGAGAAAGAGATATAGAGAGACAGAGAAAGAGATTGAGAGATAAGTGAGAGAGAAAGAGATTGGGAGAGATAAGTGAGAGAGAAAGAGATTGAGAGATAAGTGAGAGAGAAAGAGAGAAAGAGATTGAGAGATAAGTGAGAGAGAAAGAGATATAGAGAGACAGAGAAAGAGATTGAGAGATAAGTGAGAGAGAAAGAGATATAGAGAGACAGAGAAAGAGATTGAGAGATAAGTGAGAGAGAAAGAGAGAGATGAGGGGGCTGCAGCCTTGATCGCAAACACCAGTGAATCAGTGATAAGGTTATGTCAGAAACAGTGACTAGCTGGTATGACAGGCCTGTATGGTGGTTTAAAGGCCTCCATCAGTCAGTCACATTGGATTATAACGCCTTAAAGCCAGGATTACTACAGATCTAGGATCAGCATATTCTCCTCCCCCAATCCTAACCTTAACCATCAGGGGGAGAAACGTAAAACTGACCTTAGATCAATATCGAGAAGCAACTTTCATCCCTACTAGCCATATGGAGAGGAGTGTTAACACTGTCACACTGCTTGAGTATTTAATGTGGTGATGTAGTTAACAGACATAATACTACTTCTTTGTAAAGCTCTCAAAAATATGCATTACCTCGAGTCATGAAGCAGTTAATAATGTATATAAGGATTAAGCATCACTATGAACATGCTCTGCTGTCCTTCAGAACATCAGACTAGACCAGGGCTCTCCAACCCTGTTCCTGGAGAGCTTTCTTTCCAACCCTAATCTAGCTCACCTGATTCTAATAATTAGCTGGTTGAGAAGATTAATCAAGTTAGTTACAACTGGGGTTGGAGCGAAAACCTACAGGAGGGTAGCTCTCCAGGAACATGGTTGGAGAGCCCTGGACTAGACCAAGTAGACCAGTCTACATTCCAACACAAAAATGCTCCTGTTCTGTCCATCAAATATAATGACAGTCTTACAATGATAGTGACTACATCAGCAAAATCTTATTAAAATATGCAGAAGGAAACATTAACTTCAAGTCCGTCTGTAGTTCTCAAGGTGGGAGGGAGTGACTCTCACCAAAGGCTTTTAGATTTGAACAACTACTTGGCTTTATCTACCATTTAAAAATGTATCAAGTATCTAATTTAAAACAGTTTGTTAATGTCCCCCCTTCCAGAATGAATGAGAGTTAGAGGAGCGCTATAGAGAGAGGAAATATAGAAAGAAGGATAGAGAGAGTACAGTACCTGTTTCACTGCTGGTATCCCTCCCTGCTAAAGAATCTTCTTTCAGGAGGCTTTTACTCTCTTTCTCATCCTAAGCTCCGCCCACTAATGTGGGATTAGGACCTGTGCTTTAAACCAATTAAAAAGTCAGAATTTACGCTGTGGGCCAATGGGGAGATAAGAACCTGTGCTGCTGACCAATCATATTTATTCCTGGTGCAACACCTTGGATGGTCCTGGCTCTGCTGTCTGTCTTGACCTTGATCTTTCCTTAATCTTTACTAGAGGTAAAGATCCCCCCCCCCCCCCTGTCTCTCTCTCTCTCCCAACTCTTGACTGGTGAGATGTATAAAAAAAGTACTATAGAAGTGACATTAAAAACGTTTCTTTTATTTACAAGCCAGGGGCCTCATTTATCAATCATGCATAGGCACAAATCTGTGCATAAACCAGGCGTGGGATAATTTCCACGCAAAGTGTGAGATTTATCAATATGAATGTATGCTTGAGGGTGTGAGTAAATTTAAGCACAGCCATGACCGTGTGAATGCTCAGTGCCAAGTGGTGGAATAAAGAAACTGCTTGTCAAGGGTAGAATGGGGAAAATGTGTGAAATTGTGAGAGTAATGATTAAATCATTTTTCTATTGAATTGTATTTCCATTGTGAATTCATGCAACATATCTTGACAGACTATATCATATACTTTTACCACATCAGTGCATTTGTAAAATAATAATCCATATAAAGTACAGTGATTTGATAAATTAGAGGCACATTTGAAAGTGCAACCATTGTTGAAATAGGCTACTATAAAAGACTGAGATAATGAGAAATCGAATGAGAGATCATAATCAAATTTTTATTTGTCACATGCACCGAATACAACAGGTAAGGTCTACACTACCGGTCAAAAGTTTTAGAACACCTACTCATTCAAGGGTTTTTCTTTTCTTTTTACTATTTTCTACATTGTAGAATAATAGTGAAGACATCAAAACTATGAAATAACACATATGGAATCATGTAGTAACCAAAAAAGTGTTAAACAAATCAAAATATATTTTATATTTGAGATTCTTCAAATAGCCACCCTTTGCCTTGATTACAGCTTTGCACACTCTTGGCATTCTCTCAACCAGCTTCATGAGGTAGTCACCTGGAATGCATTTCAATTAACAGGTGTGCCTTCTTAAAAGTGAATTTGTGGAATTTCTTTCCTTCTCAATGCGTTTGAGCCAATCAGTTGTGTTGTGACAAGGTAGACAGACAATAGCCCTATTTGGTAAAATACCAAGTCCATACTATGGCAAGAACAGCTCAAATAAGCAAAGAGAAACGACAGTCCATCATTACTTTAAGACATGAAGGTCAGTCAATACGGAACATTTCAAGAACTTTGAAAGTTCGCAAAAACCATCAAGCGCTATGATGAAACTGGCTCTCATGAGGACCGCCACAGGAATGGAAGACCCAGAGTTACCTCTGCTGCAGAGAATAAGTTCATTAGAGTTACCATCCTCAGAAATTGCAGCCCAAATAAATGCTTCACAGAGTTCAAGTAACAGACACATCTCAACATCAACTGTTCAGAGGAGACTGTGTGAATCAGGCATTCATGGTCGAATTGCTGCAAAGAAACCATTACTAAAGGACACCAATAAGAAGAAGAGACTTGCTTGGGCCAAAAACACGAGCAATGGACATTAGACCGGTGGAAATCTGTCCTTTGGTCTGGAGTCCAAATTTGAGATTTTTGGTTCCAACTGCCGTGTCTTTGTGAGACGTGGTGTGGGTGAATGGATGATCTCCGCATGTGTATTTCCCACCGTAAAGCATGGACGAGGAGGTGTTATGGTGTGGGGGGGCTTTGCTGGTGACACTGTCTGTGATTTATTTAGAATTCAAAGCACACTTAACCAGCATAGCTACCACAGCATTCTGCAGCGATACGCCATCCCATCTGGTTTGGGCTTAGTGGGACTATCATTTGTTTTTCAACAGGACAATGACCCAACACACCTCCAGGCTGTGTAAGGGCTATTTTACCAAGAAGGAGAGTGATGGAGTGCTACATCAGATGACCTGGCCTCCACAATTCCCAGACCTCAACGAAATTGAGATGGTTTGGGATGAGTCGGACCGCAGAGTGAAGGAAAAGCAGCCAACAAGTGCTCAGCATATGTGGGAACTCCTTCAAGACAGTTGAAAAGCATTCCAGGTGAAGCTGGTTGAGAGAATGCCAAGAGTGTGCAAAGCTGTCATCAAGGCAAAGAGTGGCTACTTTGAAGAATCTCAAATATAAAATGTATTTTGATTTGTTTAACACTTTTTTGGTTACTACATGATTCCATATTTGTTATGTCATAGTTTTGATGTCTTCACTATTATTCTACAATGTAGAAAATAGTAAAAATAAAGAAAAACCCTTGAATGAGTAGGTGTTCTAAAACCTTTGACCGGTAGTGTAGACCTTAATGTGAAATGCAGATGGCTGATCATGCTCTTTTGGAAGACCCTGCATTTTACAGAGAGCGCGTTTTTATAGACAGGTGGGACTTTTGCAGAAAGTACAGACTGGCTCATCAGATATGGATGAACAAAACCAATTTTATAGGATTTTTCTAGTATTTAAGACCTACTTTAAAAAGGGAAACATGCCATTCCGGTGCACATCTAAGTGCTATCCACCGTCAGGTTTTTGGCAACGGGCACTTTTCAGCTGGATTTTGTCGATCAGCATCTCACAGCCCTTGATGAGCCAATGTTTTGGACGCAATCGTCAGCTAAACGAACAGTAGCAACACATTCCATTTCCATACACATTCACACAACACAAGTCAAGAGGGGTTTCTTTTCCATGATGGCATCAATGGGTTCCCAAATATGAACGGAACAGATGTCACCCACATCGCCATAAAAGCACCATCCCAAAACGAGTTTAACTATGTGAACAGAAAAGGCTTCCACTCTTAATATGTAGGTCCCTCATACGTAACTATGGACCTCGAAGCCAGTTCCACTGTGTTTTTTCATTGTTCACTTCTAATCAGGGATTGATTTAGACCTGGGACAGCAGGTGGGTGCAATTAATTATCAGGTAGAACAGAAAACCAGCAGGCTACGGACCTCGTAGGGTAAGAGTTGAATACCCTTGATGTAGGTGATAGGTTATGTGATGCGCAAAAGGTGGCCAGGTGGAACGCACGACTCTTCATTCTGCCTGTAGGCCTATAAGCCTACAGGCGGGAGCTGTTGAGGGTGGATGGCTTATTGGTGAGAGTTGCCAACACATTTGAAGTATATTTGCCTTTGGTAAAACAACTTGAATTGTCCTAATGGTCTTCTCTTTGCAGCTATGTTTTTATTTCTAATGGTCAAGCCACAACTGAGCGAGCCAAATAAAACATTTTTGTTGACCTCAATGTCTGACACTAGCACCTATTTCAGTCTCGGAAAAGGTTTTTTATTCCTATCTTTTTTTGGTTGTATTTTCTGGTACGGTGTTGTATATTCCACAAGGCTTTAAAACAATTATTATGACCATATGGTTAATTAGATTAATTAGAAATACAAATAGCCAAGGTCGTGCACGGGCACTGAGGCTGAGAACAGTTGGTATTTATCAATGGTTATCGCCTACCGGTGTGAATAG